GTGTGTGTGCGTGTGTGTGTGTGCGTGTGTATGCGTGTGTGTGTGCGTGTGTATGCGTGTGTGTGCGTGTGTGTGTTACGCACTGGTTAATGATGGGTGTGTAGGCCGTTCTGTCTTCATCAATAACAGACACCATCAGCGTGATCAGTTTGGGCCAGAAGTCCAGGTTCTTGATGGACGGACCCTGTTCCTCACGCGGCAGATCCTGCTTCTTAGCCTGCAAAGACAAGAGAGACAGAAGATTAATACAGATAATGAACGTCTCTCCTTCTCCCACGTATTTAGAGTTTAAATAATTCAGCCCGGTTAACTGATGGGACAGAGGAGAATCTGAGCGCCTGGCACTCCGGTTAAGTGTTTTTCCTTCAAAAGACACATTTTATTAGGTGGTGTGAACACACACACACACACACACACACACACACAGAAAACTCTGATTAAAATAATTTATACTCAACACATTCGTATTTAGTGTTTCCTGCCCTTTAAGCCCATTAACGTCTTCATTAATTATGTAAATCCTGATTTCTGCAGCCAAACCATTTACTTTCCATTGACTCTCACACAGTCAGTGTTTGGATCCTACTAGTCTGCTAGTATTCTAGTAGAATACAATACTATCTGTTTGGATTGTTAACCAACTCAGTAGTAACCTGGAGGCCTCAAGTTGGCATAAAATGGTTTAAAATAAGTTTTAAATATAAGTTAAAACAAATGAAAATCAAGATTTTTTTATTTTTTGTTATTTTTTTAGTTTTGCCAAGCTCTAAAATATTTTTAGGGTAGAAATTTTAAGTAAAATCCTTATCCTTAATCCTTATGTGGTAAATCATAAGGTAAAAAAGTGTGGGATCCCTGAGGCACATTCTGTTCCAGAAATGTAATTATTTTAATTAGTTACTTATTTTAATGTTTAATGTTTCAGTAAATAAAAAAAATAAAATAATTAAAATAAAACTTTGTCATTACTGGAGATGCACCAGATGAAACTTACTGGTCTACATTTGAACATATTGTTGTGGAAAGTGGAACTTTCGCTCTAACTCATTAATAATGCCCAGTATTAGGAAATTTCAAGATGCACAGGATCTTGTCAAAATGACATGAAAATCCATGACATCTCTCATCTAATGCCAAGTAGAACAGGATGTTTGATTGAAATAAAATAATAAAATAAAATAAATCATCTGGGGGAAAAATGGGCATCACATAAAAATAAGGAGTCAGACCTGAATTCAAGTTTACTAAAATAATGCCTTAAAAGATTTTCAGCTATGGGAATATCCAATAATCTGTGCAGCCTGGGTGACATCAGTAGGAAAGAAAGGTCATTTCAAAAGTCAAACAATTACATTTTTGATAAAAGATTGAAAAGACTCAAAAAAAGAAAAAGGAAAAAGACTTATAAGGACAAATATTCCTGAATTGTGCACAATAAAGCCAGGAATTTATACTACGATTGTAAAAAGTGGAAGTTCAAGGATTTATTTTTCTTCTAAACTGACATTTTTGTTCCACTTCCATCCTCAAACATTTAACAGGAGTTTAGTCGCGCTCTGTGACAGCACTTCTGCCATTTCTCAGAACCTCAGAGAGACTGACAGCTACAACATTAGTGTTTAAGAGCGAATAACCTGTGAAACATGCACTTAATTCATATCTACTGCAATGCATTCAAACAGCACACATCTGCTGAACTTGCTCTCAAAATGTTCTTGACCTTTATAAATAGCAACACCAAGGTCATGGGTTTGATTCCCAGGGAATGCATGCACTGAATAAAATACAAACCTTAACTGCATGGATAAATGCATAAAAGAGAATTCAACATGTTTTTATAGCGATACTTATATTGTAGACAAACTCTAACATTTTAAAGGTGTATGGAAACAAAAGAAAAAAAAAATAAAGAGAATCGCATTTATCGTTCCAAACAGGGTGGTCAACCCTGTATGAGTGCAGCCTAAATCCAAGAAAATCACCATTCAGTGCGCATCTTCAGTGCTCACATAGCCGTAAAGACACCAGCTATTACACTGTGAGTGTGATCAGCTGAATTACAGGTGCCACCATCTCTTGGCAGACAGGTCAGAGTTTACTCCGGGGGGATGTTTGTTTATCATTGATCTGGTGGTAAAATCAGCACTCTCACTTCCCTCCCCTGACTCTCCCACAATGCACTTCTGTCTGACATCAGGCCAGGCTTATTTGATGGACAACTGGGCATCATGCCAGGTTTATTTCGGGGCATCTCTCTGGGCTGTTTTCCACAGCAAGACAATTCTCAGTGAAACACGAGAGCTTTGGAATTCTCTGGGAGTTCTAGAATTAGATTCCAGCAGCAGTGTGGGGAAAAAGCGAGAGCCGGAGCTGTCCATGGTACTGAAGCATAATGTACTGTGCTCATTCGCTGTCCATGGTTCTGAAACACGCAGGGGAGTCTGATTAGTTGTATTATGAGAATTAGTAATATTCAGTAGTTTTCAGTGTCATTAAAGGAGACAATTTTGCATAATTTCATAATTTTTAAAATGGCCAATTTCCAATTCTATTTAATTATAATTACAGTCAGGTTTTTAAGTCATAATTTAGTTTGGTAACACTTTATTTTAAGGTGTCCTTGTTACACGTTACATGTACTTACTATTATAATAACAATGAATTATGCATAATTACATGCAAGTAACCCTTAGTCAAACCCTAATCCTAACCCTAACCATATAGTAAGTACATGTAATTCATTCATATTACCCAGTACTTAAATGTGTAATTACACCGTAACAAGGACACCTTAAAATAAAGTGTAACCCTTTAGTTTATATTTAGGGTCAACGATTTTGTAATTTTTTTAATAAATACTTTTTTTTTTATTAAACAGCCATACATTAAATAGATCAAAAGTTACAGTAAAGACATTTATCATGTCACAAAAGATTAATATTTAAAATAAATGTTGCTATTTTGAACTTTCTATTCATCAAAGAATTCTGAAAAAATGTATCATGAAAACTGTATCAATTGTAAGGACGTAACGTTCTGGAGTAATGGCTGCTGAAAATTCAGCATTGCATCACAGGAATAAATTATTTTAAAATATATTAAAACAGCAGCTATTTGAAATTGTAATAATATTTTTTCTCTTTTTACTGCATTTTTGATCAAATAAACAGAGCCATGGTGAGCAGAGGGGACTTCTTTCAAACACACACACACACACACACACACACACACACACACACACACAAAGGGACAGTTTACAAAAACATTTTAAAATGGTCAAATGGTCAAATACTAATAAAGGCAAAAATGCATCATGGCACACACACACACAAAGGGTCAGTTTACAAAAACATTTTAAAATGGTCAATTCAGCATATACTAATAAAGGCAAAAATGCATCATGGATTATGCAACACACACTAAACATGCTCTGTGCCACATTACATGCTGTGGTACACACAAGAAAAATTAACTGCTGTTTGTTTTTACACGTTTTCTTTCGTTTTCTTTTCTTTCTCTCATACACGGTGCCACAGCAGCGAGTGTTTCGTTATTCAGTCGTCTTATCTCATCACAAAGCTGAAAACTAAGACCTGTGTATGTGTGTGAGTGCGTGTGTACTAGTCTACATTTAAAGTAAGTCCAGCAGTAATGTTCTGCACACACATGCACGTACAGTGTATACTGTTTTACAACCTAGTTGGAGCCTAATAAGTGACTCATAAGCGAGTTTCACAGGAGATCTTGCTGACATCTGTGTTGTGTATATGGGTCTGTATGTGGTATGTGAGCATGCGAAACACAGTTTTACTGAAGGAAAAAGCATCTCCTTGAGGGCGTTGAGTAATACGTGCTGAATTAGATTAAAGTCAGAGCAGGAGTACAACACCGGCTCACACTCCTCTACTGCTGCAGCTGAAGAATGAAAGAAATGCCTGTCCTCGATTCCTATCATGAATGTGGAACAGCAGCATATGTTACATTTACAAATGAAAGACGAGGAGTAACATATAAAGTGCTAAAACACAGGCAACCCCAAGCAACCACATAGCAATGCCCAGAATGCCTTATGAGATAAACTGAAACAGCCTGATAACCACACACAACACCCTAGAATTAAAACAGCAGGTATTGCACAATCCTTTTTGAATGTCTGTTTGGATCATTTACACTTTACATTGAACTGGCTTTATTAACTTTATTGACTGTGTGTTTGTGTGTGTGTGTGTGTGTGTGTGTGTGTGTCATCTCTTATGCAAGTTCACAGCAACAATGACTAGAAAGAGCGCCCACATCTGCCTGTCAACACACTGAGACACGAATAAGGTCATCATTATGAGACATATACACACACACACACACACTCTCTCCACACAAAGACTATTTCTCATACAGCTGAGTCACTCCACTCAAACGTGAGATTAAATGAGGGATGGATTTTCCTCAGGGCACATGAGTGTGTGTATGTGTGTGTGTGCATGTGTGTGCGTGTGTGTGTGTACGCGTTTTTGTGACAAATGAGGACATACATTTGTATAATAACAAAGATATGACAGGTATTACAAGGAGAAGGTGACTTTTCAGGACATTACCCCATGTCCCCACTTTTCAAAACTCTTATAAAACACACAGAATGGAGGGTAACACTTTACTTGAAGGGGTGTGCATAAGACTGACATGACACCTTCATAATCATGACATGACACACGTCATGAATATGAAGGAGGTTTTATGCATTTTTATGACAACTGTCATTAAGTGTCATTCGCTCAGTTATGTCATTTTTAATGCAAATATGACATTATTTGACCTAACCCTAACCTAACCCTACCCTCAGATGGTGTAAGAGAGGCAGAAGAAGAGGATTTTGGAAAGATACATATTTTACCCTTATTTATCATGCATGTGTGTCTGTAGGTTGTATAGTTTGAATTAAAAATTAGATATGGATAATTTTCTCAATTATATCAATAAATTAGTTCGGTCACCTTGAAAAAAAGACACACGGACTGCAATTACAACGAATTAAATGAGAAAAGGTTTATATCACATTGTTTAACTGTTCTTTTTCCTTTCCTTGTGCATATTTAATCAATGCATGTTCTTCCAAAGATGTTTGCCTTCTGAAATCATTAACGTTCAATTATGTAGGTAGAAACATGATTTTCCTGGATCGTGAAGAGTGGGCTGGAAGTAGGAGTTTGGTACTCATTGTCT